CTTAAAATTTCATATTTTGGTCCCCTCATCACGTGGCCTAGATATTCCAGTTTTCTGGTTTGTATAGTGGTGGCGGTGGATTGGAACTAAATGAAGACAAAACCAAATATATGATCATGGGAGGGACAGAAGGGAAAAAATAGGACTTTAGTGTAAGGTCTGTAACTGGTAAAAGCTGTAACTGTTTTAAAGGGTGGACAAATTTGAATACCTGGGTGTAATTTTCGATGAAAATGGAAAAGAGAAATGGGAGATCGAAGCCACAATAGCAGAAGGGAATAAAAAATTATGTAGTTTAAGAGCCCTACTGAACTCAAAATACGTTTCTAGACAAGGTAAACTCAGAATATATAAAACAGTAATTCGACCCACAGTAACACATGCTGGTAAAACATGGACAATAAATAAGAAGAAAGAGGATACTCTGGAAAGATGAGAAAGGAAAATATTAAGACGCATATACGGAGGACGAAGACAGAAGATGGTTGGGAGAGAAGAACCAACAATAAATTAATGGCTTTATACAAAGAACCTACCATTACCAAGTTCGTCAAGTCACAAAGAATCAGATGGTTGGGACATGTGGAAACAATGACAGCAAACAGAATACCTAAACTAGTAATAACCAGAAAACTAATCGGTCCCAAAAGAAGAGGTAGACCCAGAACGAGGTGGATTAGTAAAGAGGAGGAAGACCTTAAACACGTGAATATGAGGGACTGGAAAAGAAAAGCACAAAATAGAAGCGAATGGAGAAATATTGTCCACCAGGTCCTTCAGAGTAGTTAAGAATGTTGTATATACACATTTAAGTTAAAGTTTTATTTAAAATAATTGTAATTAGTTACTATTAGGATTATGTTTTTAAAAAAATGCCCTAGGCCTTAACGGCCTGTTGTGCGTAAAAATAAAAATGATAAATACATTTCCAGAGAATGGAAGGAGATTGATGGCTGAAAAGAGTGTGGTATCAGGCACACGTTGAAAGAAAGTAATGGCAGCGAAGGAATTAGGTAAAAATTACCGGTTCGACAGAAATTGCTCGAGCAAAGAGAGCGAGAAACGACTTGAACTGTAAAAGACTCGCTGTGGCTATAGTATTTAAAAAAATAAATAAATATTATAATGAGATAAAACACCTAATGGGAGAATAAACTCTTTAAATTATAATTTTATTGCAAAAATACTTTTTTTAGTGCTATTTCTCGCCCCTTATTCATATATTATCCTAAAAAACACATACCCATGCAAAAATAAATAAGATTAATTTTAACTGTAGAGTTTTAAAATCTGAGTAGGTACCTGGAAAATGATTAATTTTTTGAAATCGTTTCATATCTTTACATCTATCAACTGTAATAGATAAATCCGTCCAATACATGTTCCAGTTTTCTCCTTCGGCCACTTCACGGAATCCAAATTTTTGTGCAACTCTACGGATGACATCGTACCTACAATGGGTGAGGCAAACTGTTACTGGTTGTTTTTTCTTTTTCTTCGCCTTACTGCTTTCATCCTTTTTCGCTGAATAAAGTGGTAGAGTAATGGGGTTTGTATTTCTTTGACTTTTTTCTTCACTAGATGACCAATCTGAAAAATCAGATTCGGCGTTAGCGTACAATGTTGTATTGGATCTGGTAGCCATTTTATTTGTATTTATATTTACTGTTTATTCTTTCTACACATTTTATAAATTTGATTGTGACATGGTCATATTTATTGACACAACTGAAATTTGTTTATATTGTATACATTATGTCTCTGTCATTATATTCTTTAAAGTGCAGTTTGTCTTGTTGTTATATGTATTATAATTGTTATTTTATCCGTCGCATGCGACGGGGAATCCAATTAATTGTCATATACAGTCAGTCATTAAATTTTTAAAATACTCAATTTTTTGCATATAATCCAAGTAAATATAAAGTATGATGTTATGCACTTCTGACCTGACATCATGTTTTTTTTACGACGCCATCTAGGAAAGAAATCTGAACTACGAACACTTGACATTTCCTATTATTATTATTATGATTATTACATAACAAATAAGGGCGGAGGAGCGAGTTCCTATTATGCCCAAAAAGCAAAAAAAAATATCCTTAGAAAACTAATACCAATTATAAAGTTAAGTAAAGTTAAACAATTATCATACAGAAATTGTGAAACAATAAATAAACAATGCGGTCCGAAAAAACACAAGCCTCTAAATAAAATAAAGCACTATTAAGTTTCTTTTTAAAGATGCTGTAAGACTGTGTAACACCAGTTGCCGATATAGTGTCTTGATCAAAATTGTTCCACATATTAAAATTCTATTTGGCAAAAAGTTCACCCTGAATCTTGCAGTAGTTTGTTCCCTCTTTAGTTTGTAACAATGGCCTCTTAATTTTTCGTCTTTATTTAAAGTGAATATGATGTTTAGGTTCCAAAAATTATGTTTTAAAATAAGGAAGGACATAATTAGGTCACCTCGAAGACGTCGCTGCTCGAATGTCGTAAGATGAGTAGTCTATCTTCATAGTTAGGTCTTATATATCCGTATGCCAGTCTTGTAGTTTACGCTGAACATTTTCAAGCAGGATTTTATAGGCTTAAGATATACATGTAAACATTTACGGATCAAAAACAGTTTCGAGTTTGTACTTTTACACACAGACACGATGTGATCAGACCAATTTAGATGACCAGATCAGACCAGTACCGAGTTTAAGAGATGTCCATTAATAGGCAGTGTTATTTTTGCCGATAATAAAACAACGCATTTTTCCATTAAGTGGAAGTAACCATTCTTAGGACCATTTGAATATTGCATTAAGATCGTGTTGAAGAACATGTTGGTTAATAGTTGGATTCATATGTAATTTCGTGTCATCAGAGTAAACAGAAACCTTACTGGATACAATGAGCGGAAGATCACTAGTGTAGACACAAAAAAGTAGCGGTTTCAATACTGAACCTTGTGGGACCCCACTCTTGACTGGTTTATCTAGTAAGTGGTCTTTCCCAACACGAACCCTGAAGTATTTTTCGGTTAGTAAATCTTGAATTCAAATGTTTAACTTTCCACGGAGACTATAGTAATCCCATTTTGCTATTAATCGACGTTTTGGAGCATGGTCCAAAGCTTTGGAGAAGTCCTAGTAGACTACATTGACAGGATTTCGATTGTTTAAAGATAATGACCAATCATTTACACGATGAAGTATGTTTGTGATCGTTGAATAAATCCATGCTGTTGGTAAGAGATGACATTTTTTTGAAAAAAAACTTGGACATATCTTTCGATCTTCCGAAATAATCGATTCCCAGGAGAAACGGTACTAGGATTTCTACTCCATAATAATTTATTCATCATAAACAGATCTTTTACAAAAAAGATGCACAGAAGATGAATCTGGGAAGGTCCAAACGGTAGAAGAAGAAACGAAATCAACTACATCATAAGTGACAAAAACAAATAATTAAAGATGTAATAGTATTCAAGTTCACCTCAACACTTGTATCTGGACACCCCCAATATCAGGCACATATCAATAATAAGCTACTACTGCATGAAACCTCCAAGAACGATCTTAAAGACTTAAATAATTGCATCATAAATGACTTACAAAAAAGTCACCGAGTGTACTATCCTAAAAGAAAATCAGATAGCAAAATAAGTTCATATACTGAAACGCTGCTAGTTCAAAGAAGACAATTGAGAAGCGATAAGAATGCAGACGGTCGAACTCTAAAAGAAATGAATAAAACTGTTTTGAAGGCAATTAGGAGAGATTTAAAGCAATTTAAAACGAACAATAATTTCGGTTTAGGTATTCTAGATATTTGTTGTTTAATTTTATTATTTTTTCTGTCATTTGTCACAATGTAGTAACTTCTTCTAGGTACTGCATTTATGCTTAGTACACTTTACTTACTGCAATCTTTCTTAGTTGTTATTTAAACAGCTAATGTACTTATTGCATTGTATTTATGTTGACCGTAAATAGTGAGGTTATGTTTGTAACATATGAGTTTGTAACGTGCAACCCAGGTAGGGTAGCACCGGTATAGACTCCCGTATCAGGTGCTTGGGTATAGACATAACGGTTAAACGAAGTACTGTCAGAAAATCGAAAACAATTTTGGAGAGACTTGCCTACAAACATGTCAGCCAAAAGACTGAATCTATTTTGATATTAAGTTTATTTTCCCTACATTTATAGATTATAAAATATCTAAATGTAGCCATTCACATTAAGGAAGAGTACGACACCATTTTATATTTCAACATTTTTTTGCATTAAAAATTAGAGTTATAGAATAAAAATTTTCTTTGAGTTCAACATAAATGTACTTGAAGAATAACCAATTAATAACTAAAATATTTTCATATTCAAAATTACAGCATCCTTCTAAACTGTACGTCGAATTTTCTCAAAATCCTACTATTGTTACTTACGGCACTTTTGGTTAGTTGGGCAGTATTGTTATATTGTCGAAATTATTTAAATACTTATTACGTATTAAATATTAAGCCTCATTAAAGTAATAACAAAAATTCACTTCAAGATATTCATTTTTAAAAAAGGCAGTCTAAGTGTTACCAACTATAGAGTTCACATTAGCGACGGAAGATTAAATCTTGGTTTTTATTTATCAACATTGTTACATTTTATAAAATTGAACACAAGTTGGTTCCGAAATTTTATGCAACTATATATTTCCATATTTATCATGCTAAATGATATAATAAATAACATATTTAGTAAACATGCACAATAAATGAATAATATTGATTACATAATAGGTGTAAAATAATAAATAATAATTGCTAAAACTAAATTCCTAAATAGTCAGTAGTAATTTTGTAGTTGTAGTTGTATGACTAAAAGATTTCGTTATGAACGTGTAGATTTTTTTTTATTAATTATCAACCACGCATGTATCAATTCACAAATCAAATATCTATGGGAAGTAGTAAAAATTGTGTCTGATAGTGCCGACCTTATCCAAGGTAGACTGGAATAATTAATCTAGCAAAATAGACGTGAAATAAATGATGCCTAACAGTTTGTTTTAATTAACGGAATTAAGATGATGTGGTTACGATTTGTGCTGGTGTCGCTGTTTGCCATATCTAATGCATTATTTATAGAAGGTGAGTTTACCTTTCTTAGAATAAACTTACATAAGAATAAGGATATGGTTAGACTTGGAAAAATATTTTAAAATTTTGTATACCTATATATATATATATATATATATATATATATATATATATATTATATATATATATATAAAATATATATATATATATATATATATATATATATATAGATATATATATATATATATATATATATATATATATATATATATATATATATATATAAGTTATATATATATAGTTATATATATGTAGATATATATATATATATATATATATATATATATATATATATATAATAGTTTTGAGTTTCTTGAACCGTACTATATTTAATATAAAATTAATGTTTCTTGGGTTTAGGTTCAATAAAGATATGTTATAATTATGTGGAACTAGATTTTATTTTCCATTGCAATCAATCAACGTTTCGGCAGGAAACCCTTGCCTTTGTAAAGATTCTAAAATGTTTTTATATTATAAGGACAAACAGATATTGTAAAATATGTATGTATGTATGTATATATATATATATATATATATATATATATATATATATATATATATGACTTACCAAAACGTAAAACGTGACACAGACATTAACGAACTGACATATAAAAGTTGATATCTGATATCTCATTGTTTACTGTCAGTAGTATATAATTATTTTTATATGGGCGTATCGTTGATGTTTTCGAAAAAGGTAAGGTGGAGATATGTTATGACTTTAAGAGCTTTTTATGATGTTATATTATTATTGTTTAAATCAGATTGAAATATATTTTATTTAGGTTTTGTGTATCTTTTTTGTCATTTATTGTCATAATATGTCATAATATTGTCTCCCAAAATCCCACACCACACATTGACTTTGTGAGAATAGTGATTTTTACAATTTATAACCCATTGGGGATTATCTGTGCTCCAGTATCTACAATTATGCGATCATACAATCGTATTAGTAGTGAATGTAGCCTTATTGGTAAACAAAATCTTATTTAGAAAAGGCTTGTCATTTTAAAAACTACCTTGAGCTCAATAAGAATAATCTAATCCTATATTTTCATTACGTTCCTTAAATGTATGTAAGAACTTTGGCTTATAGGGCTTGATTTTGATTATCTTATTAAATTATCTGATCTGTATTAAACATTATCTGATCTTATTCTTACTAATACTCAGCTGAGATAATAAATCTCGAAGACTCATGAGTGGATTTGCTCGATTTGTTACCAGCATATGGTTGCTCCTCAGGATTCTTGTGTAGCTTATTTTTTAGACAATTTGGGGAAATATTTCAACTAAGTGACTACAAGATTTTAATGCATTTTTGTATCGTACAATAAATCAAAAGTTTCCTTAATCTCAATTCATAAAAAATAGCAATAAATTCTAATCAGCATAAATATAAATAATTTATTCTAATAAATAAAAATTTTACTAATTTAATTAAAAGTATTTTAAATCAAATTTTGAAAAATTTCACACCGTTCAGCCAAGCAGTAGCCCAATCTATTGTATAATTGCCTTCGGGTGTTATGCTTTGAAAGACCTGAATAATTTATCTAAATTTCTTGCACGTTCATGCTCATGTTGGTAAATTTGTTGCTTTACATAACCCCATATAAAAAAGTAAAAAGGTGCAAGATCAGGAGAGTGAGGTGGCATTTTTATGGTACGTTTTGACTAATAACTCTATCTAGAAACACAATGGTTGAAAAATCTAACACTTCCTGTGTGCATTTCAAGCTGGACAGTCGTCTTGTTGCACCAAATTTCGTCCATATTATTAGGTAATGCTCGAACTGCTACAGTTATCTGATTTCTCAGGAGATCTAGTGCCCAGAACGAAAAAGGGTCAATTACGTTGGCACCTAAAATACCAGCCCAAACGATGACTTTTTGACGATATTTTGTTTTATAAGCAACACTTATGTGCCTAATTACTGTAGAGTACCCTAAGATAACAGATGATTGTGATGGCCAGTTAAAAAAATAAGACTTATGTGTAAACAAGATTTTTCTCATAAAATCTTCGTCACGATTAGTGCGTTTCATTATGTCCTCACAAAACACCATCCTTTGTTCACAATCGGCAGGAAAAATTTTCTGAGTTTTTTGCAATTTGTGGCGATAGTACTGCTTTCCTTCTAAAACGTTTCGTAGAGTTTTATTCCTAATACCAGTTTCTCTTAAAATTAGGCTGCTATTACACGAAACATTGATTTAAGCTCGACTACATACGGCAGTTTCACCTTATTTCAGTAATGCATTACCTGCATGAGCTATTTGATTTTTATCTTCATTACCATCCGAAAAAATGGGGACAGCAGTGAGAATTAAACACTTTTAGGTATAATGCTATAAGAACAATATTTTTAATATCTGAAAATTAAATAAAAGAAATAAGATTACATCACAAAAGTAAAGAAGAATGTCAAAAAATTAATAAACAAGAATGCTTCCTATAAATACCTTCTTAAGCCTCCTCACGTAAGTCACACGATGAGGACGGCTGGAAGAAAAGCCTGGGGGTCAGATAGGTACCACTTCAATAACGAAGTGAGACCCGTTTGATCTACGGACATTTAGAAGCCACTGTAAAATGGTATAAAATGTTCCTATATATTGTCTCAAAGTGACTCGTCTGTACAGGGTAAATGAACAACATCGATGCCATACTTCTTTGCAAACTTGTATTAAAATAAACGTCACTTCTTACTACTTAGCCTAATCCATCTTTTGTGTTGAGGGTAGCTTAAGTACTAATGCCCACTAACGACCCTGCCTGGCTTCCTTTTGTCAGTGGTTCTCAAACATAAATAATATTTGCTACAACATACTTGGGTTAAATTAAAATAAAATAGAAATTAAGAAATGCCTTTTATTTATGTCACACAAGCAGTTTATTTTTAATTCTACAGTATATGCTAGCGATACAAACCATTTGTTTATAGATTTAAATAAAATCGAATAAAATAAAACTAAAATATAAAGAAACATTTTATTTATGTATTGTTTCGTTCAAAAGTTAAGGGAGGAAGGACTTTTAAAAACCGCACTGTATATGTTAGCAGTAACAAAACGTAGAAATATCCGAAAATAAAACTAATAAATAAGTTGAAAATAAAAGAAGTCATTGTATTTAATTTCGTGTGTAAGTAGTCGTAATTATACACCATTATGTAGTTCCTTTTTTTGTCAATCGCTGTCACATTTAGTTTTGCTTAACTATCATCATCATCATTATTATCGTCACTGTCATCACTATCTCCTTTTATTTATATTTATAATAATTGGTTCGATCTCATCCAACAAATTGTCAATTTCCCTTTTCTTTTTCTGTTGCTATTACGTGGTTTACGTAGTTTTTCCATTTCTCTGGCGTAATGACTTGGTACACTACCTGGTACTAATTGTTACCTAATTAAATTTCGCATTTTAGCTTCTCTAAAATTCGCGTTGCGTCCAGCTATATACCGTTTCACTTCACTCCTAACCATTTCGATGGGCTTGAGGTCACATTGATAGGGTGGGAGCCTCAAAATCTTCACATTGTGCTTTTTGGCAACGTCTTCTATTCTGTACCTGTCATATTTTGCTTTGAAGGCGCCTTGACTAGATCAAGTTACTCGCATTTAAGGCAGTCTTTTTAAAAAAATAGGTCCTTTGACGGAAGCCATTCTTGATTATCTTTTTTTTTATTGTTGAACTGTTGGGAATTTTTTTCTGATTTTCTGCTGTGATATAAGGCATTGTCCATTACCTCAAGAGTTTTTTCTGACAAATTTAGCATTAAGTTATTTTCGAACAAATCTTCGAAGTTTGGTCCATCCATTTCGTCGTGGTAGTCCTGAATATTTTTCTTTGCAAAAAACGTGAGCTCTGCTCCATCAACAAATCCACTGGTAGATCCTGCGTGCAATAAAACGCACCGTACACCACTAGCTCTTGGAGCTTTTAATCCTGTTGTAAGACCACGAACAAAAGCATCGCGATGAGATGTAATTGTTTTATCAACCCATTCTTTTTTCACACAGTGCCCGATATTTACCCATGATTCGTCCAAATACACTAAAGTTGTATCCCTCTTCACGGTATTTGCGAATTGCGCGTAAATTATTTCTTCTTCTTTAGGTACCATCTCCTCTAAGGAGGTTGGTAATCATCACAGCTATTTTCACTTTTGAGATTGCAATCTCTGAACAAGTCGACGGAACTGCAAATTATACCACTTTCTCAGATTGTTGAGACAGGAGATGCGTCTTCTTTTAATACTTCGTTTTCCCTGTATTTTTCCCTGCATTATGGTTTGTAGCAACACATATTTATCCCCTCTCATAACATGACCGAGATACTGTAACTTTCTTATCTTCAATATTTGTTATTCGGTCTACCCAACTTATTTTTAATATTCTTCTGTAGGTCCACATCTTGAATGCTTTAAGTCGATCGCTCACCTCTTTCTTTAAGGTCCAGGCCTCCACCCCATACAGCAGCACCAAAAACACATAAGAACGTAATATTCTTATTTTAAGTTGTAAACTAAGGTCTCTACTGCATAATGCTTTTCCCATCTTATTAAATGTTGCTCTAGCTTGTCCAATTCCCATTTTTGTTTCTTCTGTATACTCGTTATTTTCATTAATAATTGTACCAAGATATCTGTATTTTTTTACTTTTTCTATTGGAATTCCTTTTATGTTTAAACTAGCATTTACTACATTATCTAAAAGTGTCTGTAGATCTTGTATATTCTCTGCAATTAGTATAGTATCATCGGCATATCTGATATTGTTGATGGGTCTGCCGTTGACTTTTATTTAAATTGTTACATTTTCGAGTGATTTTTTAATTATTTCTTCCGAATATAGATTGAACAATAAGGGAGAGAGTATGCAAGCTTGCCTTACGCTTCTTTTTATCTCTACTTCCTCCGAAAGTTCTCTGTCGACTCTGACTTTTGCTGTTTGATTAAAGTAGAGAAGAGTTAT